TTCACATTTTCTCCCCTCTACCTTACTGATTCCAAATTAATACCAAGACTTTAGTGGCCGCAGTGGGCCCAAGTTCAGGAGCAGGCTAGTGCTAGCCAGCCTGAAGGGCGTATCTCTGACCTGATTCTCCCTCATCCCTGTTTAATCTCTTCTCCAGGGTCTTCCCAGTACGGAGCTTCAAGCATACAGGTGGTGGGGTAGGGTGGGTGTCAGGAAAGAAGGCATAGCATGCTAGTAAAACAGGGACATCTGTTTCTTAGTGACAAATGTTGCTGGGCGGGGGCTGTGTCTGGAGCATGAGGGTCAAGTGATATGAGGGTGGCTGAGAATATCTTGGTGTCCATTTTAAAGAGCATTTAACAAGGTTTTTTGCTATAAAATGTATTTAAGTCACATTTTAGATTGGATATCAGCTTTGCTTAGTGTGTTTTACTTTATTTTCTGTTTTTTAAATGGCTTTGTTATTATTATTTTTGTTAAGAAACTTATCTCCCTATGTAGCCAGCCCAAGCTAAGCTGGTCTCAGTCACTGTGTTGTCTATTCTGGACTGGAACTCGTGGCGATCTTCCATATGCCCCAGCCTCCTGAGTCCTGAGATCACAGAATTAGCCACCCAAAGATTGCTGAAAGCACATTCAATTAGTACTTTCTTTTGTGTGTCAATTGTGTGGCAGTGTGTACTGTGTATAAGCAGGTGCCCTTGAGGCCAGAGATGCTGATACCTAGGTTCCAGGAGGAATGTGAGAGGAAAATAAATCCCTTGCCATCCAAAGCTGACTCGAGAGAACAGACTAAGAAACAGCTAATAAGTTAGTCTGAGCCAGGGCTCGGAAGAGTGGCGCAGAAAATGACCGCTGTTGGAAGAGAAGCGAAATGGGAAGTTGTTATGTAAGCAGGCAGTTGGGATGGGTCAGCCAAAGTGTTGAAACGGAAGGAGCATCTGCATGGCAGAGGACAGCAGCCCTGTGTAGGTCTTGTGTGGTCTGTGCTCTGGGGAAGGATGTCTCAGGTTAATAAAAAGTGCATGAGCTTGCTTTACTTGAGATGTGTTGAAGCAATAACTCTGGCCGTGTAACCGGCTCCAAAGTATCTCTGAAATTAACACCTGGCTGCCAGGTCTGCTAGCTTTTCATGTCACACAATGGTGTCCTTACACTGGAGAATGGGCTCTGAACAGTTAGAGTCAAGGCTCTTTGTATTTCTTCTGCTCCTGTCTCCTCCTTCAGCCGGGTCATCTCTGTTCTGATTAATGTTTAGCGGGGAAACTAACATGCCCAGTTTCCCAGCTGACACCCCTTAGTGACAAGTATTTCCTCTACTAGCCTCAAACTCCAATTTCCTTTGATTGTAAAGGCCCCTTGCCTGTTTTCAATCAACAGTTCTTTAGTGCCAGTTTACTAAATGTTGTATGTATCTTAAACTTAAAGATAGCGTTTAGAAATGGAGATTGTTAGCTACTGGGCTGTAGCTTTATAGCTCAGAGGCGGAGGGTTTGTCCAGCATACCTGAGGCATAGGTTTGATCCCAAGTACTTCAAAAGAGGGGGGAGGGTCAGAGATAGTTCAGTGTAAATGGTGTCTTTCAGCCATTACCGGTACCCACATGTGTGTAACACACAGACACACACACACACACACACACACACACACACACACACACACAATAAGTAAATAATTTTAAAAACGAAAGACTGAGTGATCCCATTAGAAGCATTGGGGAGGGATCTGTGCCTTCAGCAGCTGTCTTTAATTGTGAGTCAGACATGATCCAGGGTTAGTAGCTTTGGAGAGCAGGACATGGAAGACCTATAGGAGATTGGAGGCCTGTAGAGTCAAATCCAAAAGTTCCTGTGTGTGCCGTTCACACACGTCCCCCTTCTCTGAAGACTCCAGAAACCCTAGTACATAAAGAGAGCCTGTGGCCTTTCCTCTCACAGATCTTGTGGGGAGAGGCAGGGGGTTTTTACTTTTAGCATTCATTTTTGTTTTTATCTGGGCCTCACTGGCATTTTGTTAATGCAGTCTTCCCAATCTGTGTCAGCCTCCAGGGCTGCTGCTGCCTTCACCAGCCAGACTCTTACAATTCTTCCCCAAGACAGCTTGCTTTGCAAGCTGTCCAGCTGTGGCTGGGAGTGGCGACAGCAGCTTTGGAATGGAGCATCTGTAGGAAGCCAGGAGGTCCCGAGGGATTGGAGCCTTTGACCTAGATCCCATTCTTCTTGTACCCTGAGCAACTGAGATTGGTGGCTGTTTATCAGAGTAGATCAACACTGTGGCCAGAGTGGGGCATTAAGAGGCCCCCCAAAATGGTAATTATCACTGGGGTGACACCGAGATACCGAGTCTACTTAAGTAGTTTCCAATTAGACAAATGTAGTGGGAGAAGTGGGGGCTGGGGTGGGGGCTGTGATCATTTCAACCAGATTCCTCAAGGCTAAACAGACCGCTCGTGCTCTGCTCTCCAGAAGTCAAAGGGTGTCTGTCTGTCTGTCTGTCTGCTGCTCTGCCTCCTTCATTGTGTTTCTCTATGTGGGGATGCTAATTAGCAAATGGCTCCTCTCTGGCTTCAGCTTCCCTAGCTCTTCAGAGTAGTTAGATGACAATCCCTTGGAAGTTTAGACTTTCCCACCACAGTACTTTGACCAGCAGAAGGAGGCCCATAGCTAACTTGGGAGATAAGGGGACAGAGCAGAAAGTGTCATAGGTGCATTGTTTTTTCTTTTCAAGACAGCCCTGGCTATCTTTGAACTCGCTCTGTAGGCTAGTCTGGCATCAGACTCACAGATCTGTCCGGCCTGCCTCTGTCTCTTGAGGGTTGGGATCAAAGATGTGCACCACCACTGCCCAGCTGATAGGTAAAGGTTCTGTGGAAATCATTTTTATGTCTCCAGAAAATCACCGAGTATTGATGTCTCCTCCTAGCTAGTTTTCAAGTTTACTATGTAGTGTCACTCTATCCCCAGGTTGAGTCAACTAGCCAATCAGGAAGATGCATGTGTCATCTTGGAGTTTCACTAAGTCCTGTAAGCCACCAGGCACTTGAAATATCATTTTGAAACTTTGATTTTTGTTTTGAGATAGGAATCTCAGCTGTGTAGCCCAAACTAGCCTGGTATTCACAATGTAGCTCAGGGTGTTCTCAAACATGCCACGGTCCTTCTTAGTGCCAGGATCACAGACTTAAGCTGCCCCCACCCCAACACCCTGTCCTGCACAGGTTCATTTTGAAACTCATTGAGTCAGGTTTCATGTGGATAGTACCACCCTCAATTTCCTGGCAGCTTCCATTTCCCAGAACAGTTTAGTATACCAAGGTCATCCATGGACAACAGCAGAAAGAATCACCTTAGCTTTGTTTACACAGTAGACCTTTGCTGGGAGCATTAAGATGTCTGGGTTGCTCCGAGGCTACGGGCCTGTCACTGGGCTAGGGAATTGCATGAACAAAATTAGATGGGGTTACCAGTCCATGCTTTCGCCTTGTGAGCATTTTTCACAAGTTAAATTGGCATTTCCCATAGTCAGCTCAGTATGTGTTTTTAACTTTTTTTTTTTTTTTTTAAGTTTGTGACTGTAATGTGATTGATGACACAGAGGAGCAGTGTCAGTTTCAACGCTACCCAAAAAGGACACCCCAGCATTCGTACAAGGCAGGTTACAAGTTCAGGCGCAGACCTATTCAGGGAGAGAAAATGTAGTTGCATTTCTTCCCTCAGGGGAAAGAAAATGAAAATAAATAAATTGAGGTTTCTGTTAGGACCCTTCCCACCTGCCCAGTATACACACAAAGTTCCTGTTTCTTCACAGCCAGTCAGTTCGCTGCAGTCAGCTTCAGAAATAGCGCCTGCCAGATACAGTGACTGAGCAGGGTTATGGAAAACGCTGCTGCTCATAGATTCCAAGTTTAGTTCACTTGACTTTAGTTCACTCAGTCAAGAAAGAGCTCACAGTCTCAAGACATCACAGTCTCAAAGAAGCCACTGGGCAGAGCGCTTTAACCCCTTGTTTCCCATGAAGAGAAATGAACCCCAACCAGAGCCCACTCCCTGAAAGATGACTGTCAGTCTGTTAGTTAATATCTCTAAAGCCCAGAGCTACGGCGATCTTGGCAATATGCTGCCCAGCAATAAAATCTGTAGCAGCTAAAGCAGAGGTGTGTGGTAGGGGTAAATATAAAGCCATATCAGACTTTACTACCCGGGGTCCCCCATAAGGATGTTTAATGAGATTTCTGCATCAAAATAAGCAAAACCATATGGAATTTTAATTATCCCTAAAACATAGTTTTAAGGGAAAATAAATACATGTTAGAAGGCTTTAAAAAAAACATTAACATGCTTATCTGTGTGTGAAGCCTGTGCTTCTTCGAGGGGCAAATGTTGACGTTTTAAGTGCAACTTCTTTCCGTTTCGAATTACTACAGTTATTCTGGCTTTTTTCATGTGCTCTGGGTACTGAAGTTAATACACACGGAAACGGCCTGCCCATATCTATTAGCCTGGCCCCTCCACTTCACCTAGAGGCTGAGGGGCAAGAAGCCTGCTTAGGACCACCTGTGGCCTCTGCTTGGGGTCTGTATTGTTTGCAGCAGCAGATAAACACAGGGTAGGGTGGTGGGTCCCCTCATCTGCCCCCATTTTTGACTCTCACACCATCACTGCTTCATAAAACTTGAGCTCATCAGAAGCTCCTTTAGGGGGGAGGGGGAGGGAGAGGCCAGTCACAGGAGGAGGGGTTTATAAAAAGCAGACCCTAAGTGCCTGGCTGCATGCATTTCAGTCTGTCATCTTGAAAGTGTTTGCTTCTGGTATTGGAGGCAGCTCATTTGCTGTGCACCTTTTGCCCGTGGGCCAGTGGGTTCCGGGAAGGCTCTAATGAGGGATGGGGACCCCTACACCCCAAGGCCATCGTTTCTCCTCCTGCCTTGGAATTAATGTCATAGACCAGATGTCAATGCTAGAGCTGGAAGGGAACTTAGAGTTCGTCCCCTGCTTTTCCAGATGATGATACTGCCACCTCTGACTTCTGCCTCTGGCCTTCCTCTCTCAGCAAGAAGAGCCAGGCAGGTGAGACCTCACAATTGCTGGGGGGGGGGGGATGGGCTGGGCTGTCTGATGGCAACTGTCTTTTGGTTTGTGAGGGGGAAAAGAAAAAGGTTTTGTTAACCCCATGTTGCTTTCAAGCAGTCACATTGTATGACAAATGCATTTCATGCACTGAACCCCAGCGCCTGGAGAAGATTACAAGCAATGTGCATTTTAACAAACAGCAACCACTCTCTGACAGGCCCTTTCTAGACTGTTATTTGTATGATCCCTTCAGTAAACATCGGACTGTCCCAGAAGGAGGGCTGAGTACAAATTAAAGTCTTCAGGAATTTCTCAGCCCTTGTCCTTGCAGCTAAAACCTGTAGCAAAAGCAGATATAGGAAATCCAAGTCAGGAAGCAAAGGGAAACTTAGAAGAGGCATCGGTGAGAAGCACTGGTGTTACCAAAGGGTTTGCCATAATTCTGTCAATTCTAGAAAGTTACAAGGAACCCAGAGTTTTATCCATTTCAGAAAACTAGTTTCCACGTGCCGAGTCTCTAGCCAAGCTCTCAGGGGGGTATCTGTTAAGGAGGCAGATGTAAAAGTTCTAGAGAGAAGCCACATCTGCTTCTTCAATGTTAAAGCCCCCACAGCTCACTCTAGTGCAGGGAACAGGCAGGGAGCTTCCCACTTCACCTCCCCTAGGCCTGCAGCCTTCTATAGAGCTTCTGTGGGCACCTGGCCTAAATCAGGTCCCCTGTCACTCAGTAAGACTCTGAAATGCAGTGACCATCAAGGTCCTCACCTCCCCCCACACACACACAACCTCCCACAAACCCCACCCCACCCTCCCTCTCAATACCTAGTTTATGACTCAAGGGAGAATTTCTGCGGGTTCAGCTCTCCCTAACACCCCCAGAAAAGCGAGATAGTGTTAGATTACATTGACACCTGCTTTGATTTCACTGTGACTAACATGGGGATTGTAACAAGGGCTTAAATTCTTTTAAAGGTTAAAAGAAATACTGGGAATATGCTGAGGGAATCTATTTGATGTACTTTTCTTAACAAAGAAGTGTCCCCACCCCCCCCCAAGGGGTACAATAATAAATCTTTGAAATTGTTTACACTGAGTCAGGAAAAAAATCAATTGGTCTGGTTTAGTAAAGTTTCACATCAGATACCCTGAAGTGCAATAAGAAATAAAAGGAAAGGATGGGGTGCGGTCAGTGGAGGTCCAGCCTTAAAGTCTGGGGAGTGAACCTGTGACTGGAAGGTCGGGTTGGCTTCCACACAGGGCTTAGCACATGTTTGGCTTTTAAAAGCCCTTTGGGATTTTCTGGGGGTGGAGAACATAAGGAGAAATGTCATTGGGACCATAACGTGGGGGAAACTAAGCCGGAGGTGTGCAGTAGTGCATTTGAAATCTGTTTGTTCCCTGGGAGAAAGCTCAGGTTTCCTTTTCTCTTTAAAATCTTGTAAAAGTTCTGTCATTTTAATTGATATTTACAGATGTTTCCCTCTCCCCATCTTCTGTTATGATTTTTTAGGTGCTTCAGAACTGGGCCCTTTTTCAGACCCCAGACAGTTCCCAAGCATTTCATCCCTCACTGAGAGCCGCTTCTCCAACCCACGAATGCACTACCCAGCCACCTTTACTTACACTCCGCCCGTCACGTCAGGCATGTCCCTCGGCATGTCCGCCACCACTCACTACCACACCTACCTGCCACCACCCTACCCCGGCTCTTCCCAAAGCCAGAGTGGACCCTTCCAGACCAGCAGCACTCCATATCTCTACTATGGTACTTCGTCAGCATCCTATCAGTTCCCCATGGTCCCGGGAGGAGACCGGTCTCCTTCCAGAATGCTCCCACCATGCACCACCACCTCGAATGGCAGCACGCTATTAAATCCAAATTTGCCTAACCAGAATGATGGTGTTGACGCTGATGGAAGCCACAGCAGTTCCCCAACTGTTTTGAATTCTAGTGGCAGAATGGATGAATCAGTTTGGCGACCATATTGAAATTCCTCAGCTGTGGCCCAGTGGCATCCAGGGGCCACATCCCACATGTGTTAATATATACATATATAAAGAGAGTGCATATATATGTATAGTGGTTAGCTATCTAGAAGATTTCTCACTCCTTCCCTAGTCGTGGTCTCAAAACCCTAAGAGGGTAGAGACAGTCGTAACTGGGTCTCATATTGTTTACTATAAGATGTCCCTTTTACCAAAGGAACAAGTGGTCAAAGGTGTTGTCATCTGGTCTGTTTTCATAAGTAACCTGTTCCTATGCATATTCAGAGAAGTGGACGCCGGGTTCAGGAGGAAGAAGAGAGCCAAGCCACTTCCTCCTTGTACTTTGAAGCCAAGAGCTTAAGCTGTGTGGGGGCCGGTGCACTCTGCAGAGCAGCTTACAAAGCCAGCTGTGTGCACTTGGAAAGGGACCAGAGGGGGCACGGATGCTTCGTCCAGTGCTGCCCGTTCTGAACACCTGCCCAAAGTTTGCCTTCAGACTTGCTGCAGGTACTTGTTTGAACTTTTGAGTTCACTTATTATTATTATTTTTTTTTCCTACTCTAAGAAAGTGACTTCAGAAATACTGATCAGGATAGATTATTTTATTTGACTTTTTTATACGCCCTCAGTTCCCCCATTTAACCAGAAAGAAATCCTCCCAACCCTCCCCTTCCTTCCCCTTCTCCCTTTATGCAAAACTGAAAATGGCAATGCCTTATTATAGCCATAATGATATAGTGTTTGAGTTGGCTGTGTGTTATTTGTCTTTCTTTTTTTTTAAATTATGAATATGTGTAAAATCTGAGGTAACTTGCTAACGTGAATGGTCATATAACTTTAAAGATATATTTATAATTATTTAATGACATTTGGACCTTTGGAACATTTCTTAGTGTAATGATATGTTGACTCCGGTCTCTAAAAGTGCTTTTTCTTAAATAACAAATTTCTTCAGTGGGCTAGAGCCATATCTGAAATATTGCTAAGCAATTTCAATTCCTTCAGGAACAATGTGATTTTTTTTTTTTTTAAAGATAACTTCCATCTCCAAACATTTTAGATGTAGTTTGTTTTTGTGATGTATGAAGGAAATGCTATGTTTCATTCTTTCAGGTCTTTAATTGCCTCTGACAGAGCTTTTTGCCTTTTAAAGCAATAATTAGGGATTAAAAAACACAAACAAAAACAAAACACCCATAGCCCTGTAGCCCTTTAACACTCAATATGGCCCCTTTACCAGCATGAAATGCTGGAGACGTGTGGTTTCCTCCTTTTTTTCTTTTTTTTTGGGGGGGGGGGATGGTAGCACAGTCATTATGACTCTTGTCATATTAGAAAGGCAAGTGAGTAACTGCAGAAGAGTGTTCTGTGGTCTCAGAGTTAAGCAAAACTCTAAATTGCAGGCTTCGTAGCTGGGGATCTAATCAGTTGAAAGCCAAACATGTGGAAAAGGCTTGATCACAACATACATGGTGTAGGAGAGCATGGGCACAGCAGGACTCTGCACCTACCAGCCCTTCCCACAAAGTCATTCAGGGGAACCCCAAAGTGCCTTGCTCAAGGAGGGCCTCCAGCAGCTTCCCAAGTTGAAGAATGAAGTCACTGTCCCAGGGAAGCTGGTCAGGTGAACTAGCAACCGGTGGCTAATGTCTGTAAACACACCCTGTGAGGACCTCCACAAATCTTTTGATATTAGCACTTCTCACTAAGGAGGGCCAAGAGCAGAGAGGGTCATGTGCCGAATGGTGTTGCCACTGTGTGTGAATCTGGGTCCAGCCCCCCTGGAGGATGCACTTTGATCATGCCGGGCACCGTGTGACCAATCTCCTTAATCCAATCCAGTGGCATGACCAGGCACATCCCAACACTCTTCCTGCACAGGTGGTGGGGGGTGGACTGGGGCGGGGCCACCTTCACTTGAATCCTTAGTCATCCTAAGGAAAGTTCTACAGACATTTGCCTCCAGCCCCTAGACCTCCTTGTTCTCTCTGTTCCTTCTCAGGTTGACCTTTGTCCCAGTGTGGGACACTCTAGGGGGCAGGTGAACCTGCGTGTGCCTCCAGTCTGGATTTTTGTTAGAATTCATCCTAACTCCTTCTGACACAAATTGAGGGGGGAAGAAAACCCCCACCAAAACAAAACGCTTTGCCTTCTAAAGGTTGTATACCAAGTATGTTCAGATAGACACGCCACTTTGTATTTCTGAAGCTGGAAGGCGGAACTGACGCTATTTACTGTTGGGTGTGGTAACTTGAAGCACACCGCTGTCCATGTGTTTGTCTGGTACCTATTTCAGTAGCACTTACAAAAGCCAGTGTCTGGACACACTTTTCAGTTTTTATTAATTGACATGACAATGTCCCATGGGTGCCAGCTGCACCCTGTTTAATTTCTTAAATATTCTATTTGTACATTATTTTTTTTAATATTAAAGGGCTTCTTAAAAGTTTACAGTACACATATTAAGGGACTAGAGGGGATGTGTTAGTGCCTAGATGTTCTCATAGTGGCTGCAGGCAGCAATCCTGAAACACTTCCCTCCGTCGTCCCCCCCCCCCTTTGAGAAAAATTCAAGTATTTCTCTCCACCTTTTGGCCACCTCACTGGGTGATTCCCATTACTTAGGCCACATTCTTTCTTCTGGTTTTTTGGACTAGGATTTAAAATCCCCTTCCTCTTCCCTTGTCTCTTAAATGTCCCATTTGTGGTTACTTCTGGAACCATCTACATGTACCAACCAACCACCTACAGTTCTCAAAGGAGCACAGACATCCCTGGGATTTACAGTATGACCAACAGAGGCAGTTTTAGAAACATACTCTTCAGTTGTCCTCCAAATCTGAACTTAGGCCAGAGTTCAGAACAGGTAGCATGGTTTTAGTTTTAGGTTAGGGAATGGTCTCCAGTCAGAAGCAGAGACACATCACCGGTTAGCAACCGGTTAGCAACCGGTTGGCTCTCTAACTGTGTCTTCCTTTACCCAGAGACCCTTGGGAAATGAACAGAGAAACATCTCCACACCATTAAAAAGACTGTCTGTTGTAGGTTGAGAAGGAGGAGCTATGTTGGGGTTCTTTTGTCTCCAAGGAAAGGCACTAAGCAACCTAGAGATAGTCAGCCTTAGCAGAAGTAATCATAGCCACAGTACTGGAAAGAAAAACAAACAATAAAAGACGAATCTCTAAACTTTTAATTTGTTGTTTTTTTTAAAGATAATGCATCTAAAACAAAGATTTTTTTTCCTATGTGAGAACTTTCTTAGTTGTCTGTTTCCTTCATGTTTACAAATAATTGTTTGCTTTGTAATGCAATACTTCAAATATACCAGCCAAAACCGTAACTTACAGTAACTTCTTAGGTGTTCTAAATAAAATTCCATGTCTTTCGATATGCCTACCATTCTTAGATTTCTGTGGAACAACAACAAAATTGTAGCATTTTGTGTAAATACAGCTTTTGTTTTTATTTCTTATTTTTCTGATTGCTATTGCCCAAGGTTTGCTTTCCATGCACGTATTGTACAAATTCTGCTTTGTACCACAGGTCATGATTGTGGATAAGTTTACTCAGAACTTCAAAGGGACTATTTGTATTGTATGTTGCAACTGTAAATTGAATTATTTGGCATTTTCCTCTAATGATTGTAATATTAATTTGAAGTTTGAATTTAATTTTCAATAAAAGGCTTTTTTTTTGTTTTCTGTTTTGTTATGTGTGTATCCTGGGTCTTTTCTTGTTCGTGTCTGACATCTACTCCTGACTGCACCTCCCAGGATGTGCCAGAGCTAGCTAAAAGCAGAGATGCAATATTCCTGTGAGAGGAGGGCATCACAGTGGGAACCATGCTCTTGTTTGCCCTGCATCCGGAGGAGCAGGCAGAAACCTTAGCCATCAATATGTCTTTAGCACCGGAGTCTGAAGGAAGGGTGCACTTTCTGGGGCCCAGCCCCTGAATCCAGCTCTGGATCAGTCCAGAGACTGATCACCTCTGAGAGCAGGAATTGGACCCCCACAATCGACCACCCTCCTCCCAGCTGTAGCCAGATCCCAGGCAGCCCAGATGGAGGGATTGGTCCATTTTCCTTCCCATATCTCTTTTTGGGTCTTCGGAAATAAAAACCAAAGTCCAGTGGTCACTAAAATGGGCCTCGGATGTCAGCCTCAGAGGTGTTCTGCTAAGGAACTTAGCTCTATTTTGAGGATTTTGTTTGGTTTGGTTTTTTGTGTCGGTGTTTATTTTCGGTAAGTCCTTCCCTTTCCATGAGGATGAGTAGTGACTTGCCTAGTGGTCCGGCTGTTTTGACTTACCATGGTTCTGATGTATGGGTCGGGAGACCCCGGGTGCAGACACACTGGGTCACTAGCCACATGGGGTTTTTTGGCCCCAACAGGGTAGAGGCTTCTCTTTCTTGGAAGCACATTATTTCTAAACCAAGGAGTCACCCTAGAAGAACATGGCTGAGCTTTGGCCAGAGAATTAGTTCGTAGTGCGCTTTCCAAATGAATATACGCTTATTTAAATTAAGCATTTCTGTGGCTCTAAAGGCACAGGGGAGTGGGCACAGCGGTGGTCTCTCTTGTCCCCTCCACCAATCCAGTCACTTCACGTTTCAACTGTGAGTTTCTTGCTAACTGTCTAGACCTTGACTTTGGTATTACAGGCCAGACAGTTCTCTGTTATGGGGGCGGGGGGTCTTGTGGGTTATTTATCAATAGCCCCAACCTCTACCTACCGGATGCCAGGAGTAGCTCTCAACCCTGACCACCAAAAATACCTCTCTAAGGCATTACCAAATGGGCAACATGGGTTGGAGGCTGGAGGCTGGGCTAAGTCTTCTGTGGAACTGGTATGAGGGTATAACAGAGCCGGTGGGAGAGGATGCTGCCCACTGAGCCAAGGTCACCAGTAGATGACTGGTGGGCTTCTTATCATGCATGTGAGCCTTTATCCATCCCTTCAGCTGATGGACCTCGGGGACTGCATGGAGTAGGAGAATCCCCCTGGCTTAAGTGCTTATCTTCTCCTCTCTGCCACCTCTTGGGGGTGTGGAGGCTGGTGTGGAGGCTGGTGTGAAGAAGTCTGCCGTGAGGCCAGTGTTTCCCTTGGCTGCTCTGCTTGCTCACTGCAAGAGCAGGCAGAAGAGGAAAGTCAGTTCTGACCTCTTGTGTCCCAAATATTTAATCATGAGACATTTCTGTGAGAGTGGGAGCTTCCTGTTAACTCAATCCCAGCCGAGACTGGCCCAATAAACACCTTAGCTCTCTGTTACAGAGTTTATTTGGCTGGGAAATGGGTATTGCCATGTAAACAGGAAGCCCCCTGAATTATTATCTACAGATGTGGTTGAAGAACCACATGTTTGTATTTATGAGACTTGAAAACAGTCTGGAAGGCAAGGAAGAATGCCGGAGAGCCCTTGGTCACAGAGAGCACAGGTCTCACAGCCATGCAGGCTCATCCCGCCCTCCCCCCATTCCTTTTGAGAATGGACGATAGACGATAAGGATATAGCCAAGAACCACTGTGAAAATGGACTAATACCTCTGCGTTAAGGCGCCATCAGGTTAGAGGCAAGGCGTTGTGGCCTCTGTCCCAGCTCTGTGAAAAGCAGTTTAGAGACCTTTCTAGAAAACAGTGTATTGGGAACACTGAAAAAGTGGGTGACATAGGACAACAACATTGCAGCCTGACTTACTGTTTTTCAGGGAAGGTGGAGGGCTATTTTGCTGACTCCTGTGATTTCAGGGCTACCGCCAGCTCATCCACGCAGGGCCGTGAATTCTCACACATGTGCTCCTAGGGTCAGTGCTGAAGGATGAGTCTACTGCTCTTGTAATCTGGGGTGCTCATCTATGCACACTGCAATGTGTGCTCCCCCACCCCACCCCCATGGCTCTCCTCTTCCTTTCCCAGCGTTCTCCGTGCTCTTGGAGTTGTTTAAGAAGGGCCAGGTTGGAAGTGCCATTTAAATTCTGGCTTCTGAGCAAAAAAAAAAAAAAAAAAAAAAAAAAAAACCCAGCAGACTCTTCCATCCTCTCCACCCTTCCTATGCACCCTGATCAGCCTCGCTGAGGCTTCCGAGCGGCTTCTGGGCAGTAGCTATTCAATCTGGAGACCTTGAGAATGGGAGCTTTAAAAGGTGCTCCTCAAAACTTAGACTAGGTGACGATGTAGAAGGTGATATTCGATGGAGGAGGAGATGGATGTGGTGGGTGATGCTGGCATGGGGGTGGTGGCGGAGGGGGTGTGTCCATGCAAACAT